CTCCAAAATTTTTACACTTTGTTCGTGAAGAGATTAAAAACAATAGAAAACAAAAATACAATTTAAAATATTAAAAAAATGTAAGGATCAATAATAAAATACAAACAAACTGCATAAACTCAAAGTTATGTATTCCGAAAAGGAACGTCATAAGAAACCTTTCTTCCATGAGGCGTAGAAGCTAGTAGAATACTTTCCATTCCCATTGCATTTTCTCTTTCTTTAAATTATTTTTCCATGCAATCTTAGGGATATATATATCTACTATAAATATTTAGTTTGTTTTTAGTTTATTGTAACTAAAAAATTAATTGATGCATGAGATTGTGAGATGAAAAGAAATTTTCTCCGCAAACAAGGGGAAGGACGATGGCTTGTACGTTCCTCCATAAAATTCGTCTCGCTATTCAAAACCCAATCTTCTCTTTCCCGGGTCTTCCCTTTCTGTTCTCTTTTTCTCTGTCTACTCACAACCCATTGCAAATTATACAACATCGTCGATCAGGAGACTTGAACAAGAACTATCACAAGGTTACACATTCATCTATAAAAGAAGCATTATTCAACAGTAATCCACCTGATGATCTCTCCCCCCATCTTCTTTGTCTTTAGCAATGATAGATTTTCAATTTAATGTGGTGTACTGTAATATAGTCACTCACGTTTCCTCGTTTTCTCCTTGTTGATGAAATCATGTTTTCTGGGTTGTCACTTTCAGAATAGTAAGTTGATTCAACGCATCGTCATTGCCATCTAATCGATAGACATACCATTTCCGTTGGGGGGGCCAGGTAATTAGCTTGTCTTTTCATTTCGTTCTTGTTCATTTTGATCTGGACATTGAATCCGGTGAGCAGGTTAAATTTACTCCATCAAAGAGTCTCTTAATTATAATTATTAGATTTCATTAAAATTTAAAATTTATTAAAGCATATTTCTGTCCAAAAGTGTCTTAATTATAATTGAATCCTTACTTTTAACAATACATTTCTCACATGCTTGTCCTCTAAAAAAATTTGAGATTTAGCATTTCCTGAGTATTTTATAACAAAATTTTTAAGGATTATCATATCATTTGAGATGCTCATTGAATGAGTAGATATGTGCCACTCACTTATCTAAATCTCGCAAGAAACTCCGATGTTATTTGTGCGTGCAAGATCATTTGTTCCCGTCCTAGTCATTAACGTCTATGTCATTTTCATTGCAGCTTCTTTTTACTTTGCAAAACGTTTTTCAGTGTTCATATATTATGAATGATTCAACTTTCTTTATACTCTACATGGAATCCACCTAATTATGTTTAGGTTTAAATTGTTTTGAAGTTAATTTTTTAAATATTCACTAATGAATTAATTTCAAATTTAAATGATATTATTTTCTTTGGCTGATAATTATTGACTTGTTCTTTGTGCCTTGCAATGTTCCGTTTCATTTTCTACTTTTTTTCCTGTTAAATCATAAATGTTTTGACCCACTTTTGTCTGTGCATTATTAATGCATTTTTCTATTTTCCCTTCCTAAATGTTCTCATGAAAATGTGAACCATAATGAGTTTTCTGGTAATTTTTGGCATGGAAAAAATTTGAAAAAAAAAATAAAAATAAAAGCAGAAGGTCGCCGGAGAACACCTGATTATGGTGAAATGCCATTAGCGGATAGCCAACGAGACTCGCTAGCCGGATTAACCCTCGACGACGTGTTAGCCAACCGAGCCGCCGCGTCGAGCCATCAGCTCACAATCACAAACCGTCGAACCCTCCTTGACATCATCCGTGAAGACGAGTCCGCCAATAGGGATCGCAAGTCTTGGAAAGCCTTTAAAGACAAGCTTCGGCTGAAACGCGCCGGATCTGCTTGGACTTCCTCCGTCCTTATCCCTGCCTCAGATATCCCTTTCCCTATCCGGAATAACAGAAACTTCCCCCCACAGCTTCCCCGTCGCAGCTCCGTCCGAGTCCTCACATTCTCCCCCCTGGACGTCACCGCTCACTGCATGGCTGATCCCACCGAAGAAGCCATCAAGAGTTCCCATCTCGCTCCCGCAATCACGCGCCAGAGATCCACGCGCCAGGTCGGGGATGCCGTTTTCGTCGACGATAAACTCAAGCCTCAGATTTCCCGCCCGAACTCCGCACGCCTGGCGGCGGCAGTGCGGGCGGATTCCATCCGGCGAAAGCGCGTGGTGACATTTCGAGACAACATTGAAAGCGATGACGACGAGGACGAGGACGGCCACATGCGCCAGCCGAGGGAGGAGAGACAGATGTCTGCTAGGGAAGCTGTGGCTGCACAGGAGGCGGCGGAGGCGGCAGCGATGGCGGAGGAGGAGGAAGATGATGAAGACGAAGAGGAAGAATCGTTCGGGGCTGGGGGACGCGGGGTGACAATGTCGCTGATGGACCTGTTGGAGGAGACGGATAGGCAAATGGGACTCGAAGGATCGACGTACAGAATGGAAAACGATGACGACGAGGATTTTGATGAGGATGATGAAGACGACGAAGGAGGTGAGGAGCACGATTGCTGCGTGTGCATGGTGAAGCATAGAGGTGCGGCTTTTGTGCCGTGTGGGCACTCGTTTTGCAGGATGTGTTCCAGGGAGCTCACTGTGAGCAAGGGAAATTGCCCCCTCTGCAACAATTTCATCTTGGAGATTCTTGAGGTTTTCTGATCCACATAACACTTTTTCTTTTCATAATTGATTTTGTTTTTCAATTTGCTGGGCTGGGAATTTTGAATTTTTTCCCTACTCTGTTGTTGTTGTTCTTTCATTTTTTTTGTTAAAGACAAATTTCGCGCGTTAAGGCCGTGAATTCTGATCTGTAAAGAGAAGTGCAAAGAAAGAACTTAAAGAGTGTTGTGATTTACAATTTCAATTGTCCATGAACATGATTATCATATGATGTGAACTTTTCTAAAGATTAAGTGCATGTTCGCACTTCACACCTTCATATAAAGTTGGCTGGTTGTTTTTAACCAATCCATAATTTCTAATAAGTAAACATCATAAAATTAATAAATAAAGTTATTATTTTAATAAATATTGATCACTTCAAGTGATCATCAAATATTTTAAGCAATTTAGTTCAGTTATAATTTTGTTTGATCACTTTTTTTTGTTGGAAAAAACGTCAACTTTATTAAACAATAAAAAACAAAAAACAATTGCAACTTAAAAGCTAGTAGGTAGTAGCTATGGATAACCAAGGCCCAGAGAAGTGCAAAGAAACAAAAATAAATAAATAAATAAATAAAGCAAAGACAAGACTTAGGCTAGAGAAATAACAAGATAATATCGAAAAATAAAACTCAAACAAACACAACCCTCTAAGAACAGAAAAAAAAAAAAGAAAACAAACAACGACTCAAAAACCAGTAAAGTCTGAGATATTTTTTAAAGGTGCTTGCAGATGAAAAGAGTATTGGCTCTAATCAGATACCAAATCCTTTTAGCTAAAATGTTTTAAATTTTTAATTGTACAATAAGCATATATCTAAGTTAAAATTTAAATTAGATTTTATTCTTAACTATTCGTACCTTCTATTGACCCAGTGTTCTTAACTAAACAAGTGTTTGGTTCAACTACAAGGGAGTTATACTAGTCTAAATGTCTAGTAAGAGATTTCAAATTCAAATCCTAAAAATGCAACAATATCGGTGGACAATGGTAGAACTTCTCCTCAAAAGGGTCCTAACCCCACTCACACTAGATTAATCTAAGTTGTTGACTAGATGGTTTGCTACAAAAACAAAAGGTATTGAAAACTAAATTGGTTGTTGAACTAGTTAACTAGTTAAGGTATTGATCCAATGTTTAATGATTAAAATTATAGTTAAACCATAATCAAACTGATTATGAACAAAGCATTTCATTGATTTGGTCAATATGTTAGTTTATCAAGTTATTAGTTTAACTAACTAGGTTGACTTGAATTTTAATACTATGTTTAACTTTTTTTAAAAAAAAATCTCTTATTTCAAGGTTTAAACTAGAGTAATAAAATAGATAGCACATGTAAATTATTATATATACTATGCATATTTTCATAACTATTTATATCTAATACTATTCATTTATATATGAATATATCATTGAGCCTAAATGATGATAGTAACTTTCCAATTATGATTTTTTTTTTGTTGCCCAAGGTATTCACTGCCAGTAGCAGTAACTAATCCTTTCACCGCGGGGTCTCCCACAAAGGGGCAAATAGCTGGCCATAGAGTGCTCTCCATTCGCATGAGTAAGGAATTGAATCCCCTATCACATGCTTAAGAGACGAAGTGAGATAGCTATTACGCCACACTCATATGGTTAATTATGAATTTTTTCCATACATCATCTTGCTTTACGCCATTACTCTCCAGGCCAAGGCTAGCTTTATGGGCCCGGTCCATTCTTTTTAAACAGAAAAGGTTTGGACATAATAAAATTTGGCTTGGCTTGCCACAACAATATACAGATATTTTGATTAAACATTAGGTCTCAATTTCAAATTCGCGTGATTACAAAAAATGTTGTTGGGAGAATTATTCTCAATTAAACTTGACAATGAATATGATCCAATTATACAGTTATATATATATATATATGTATATATAAAACAAACGGACATTTTTTTTGGGGTCAAAATAGAAAAAAGACATTAAGGCACTTTGAAAAAGCAGTTTTCATTCCCAAATTGATATATTAGTACAAATACTTGGAATTCCTCGTCCCATTGTTTCACACGCACTGTGAATCTATAGCAAAACAAACAAGAATCTTAAGTGTGATCACATGGTAGCTGTGACCTTCAGCTTTTCATAATGATCTCCACATGAATTTAGATGGCTTCATCATCAGATGAACAGGACATAAATCAGGTTGCCTCACAATATAAATTTGATCTCCCACTCTATTGCCTGCGTCCTGGTTTCGGTACCATGTCCACAAAGCCCATGTCTCATTTTTTACCTGAAAATTACATATCAAAGCACTCCCTAAGCGATTAGCAAAAGTTCGGACACTTGATAAAAAATATATTAGTAAATGTATTATCTGTTATTTCTGCACTCGCAAAAATTATTTAAAACAAATTAGTAAAATCTTGGCCCCTCTTGCATGGAGGGCTAAGATTAAAAGTAGCATGGAAATGCTACTAAACAAGCAGAAGAGAAACTAGAGAGGATACAAATTCGACATAATGCATGTAATACAAATATCAAATTGTGCAGTGTCTATCAGTTTTAGTGCTTAATAGCTCTCTAGGAACCTATAAATCTTCTATCCTATATCTTCCTCAAAAAGAACACAATCCAGGAGTTTGTCTACTTGGTTCAGCTCAGTGAGACTTAGTGCAGACTTCCGTATGGTTGACAGGGATATATGAACCCAGGTTCCGTTAGCATGCTAAGATGTTGCTTATATTGAAAATTAATATTCAGTAAAAAAAAAAAACATAAAAAACAAGATCAAACAAAAGGTTATGCATTGATATGTTGGATCCTCTATTATGACATGAGAACTCCAGAGAATATGAAGATAGATGTCGGGTTCACATAGCTGGAAATGGGATCCCCTATGCAGCTATGCTCTGTTTCTCTCTTCCCCTCACTCGCCTGTTGATCATTTGATCTCATGTCACAAGAGAAGACCTAAATTTGATACTCCCTCTGTTCAGAAATTACAAGATATTTTTAACCGAACCACACATCCCAATGAGTTAATTAATTATCTTTAAAATTACATACTTTTTCCACATTTACTCTTATTCAATAAGGTATCTCAATTAGAAAACCTTACTAATTACACCCCCATAATTGAGGATATTTTTGGGAAAACTTTATTACTTGTACTTTGAAAGACCCAAAATGCTTCATATTTTTTTAACATGATACTTTGAAAAAAGTGCCTTATAATATTGAATGAAGGAAGGAATGAATGTAAGGTATTTTCTTTCTAAATTTCAACTTCTTTTTAAAAAGATATGCCATGCCATCAAGTTTTGAATTCCCGGACATATTTTTCGAGAAGGAAGTTTTGTCATATTACATGTGCATGAAGAAATTGATACCTCTAGAATTCCATGGCCGAAGCTACTTTCTCTGAATGCACTGAACTCCGGCTGCCAATCCCAGCAAAACTGACCCTCTGCAGGGCCAGATGTAAAGTTTGTTACACAGTAGCCTCCCATGTAAGGATCAGGAGTACTTGATGGATCGGGACATTGTCCAGGCTCATCTGCAAATTGGATTGACATCTTCTCTCGGTTACCTCCATCCCCAACAGTAATATAGACAGGACCGCATGGGTCTAAACTGTAATTGTAAACCCTATTTGACCTCTCATAAGCATGCACCTGCTCATCAATTTTAAAAACCAAACAAATGAGTGAAGACTTGAGCCTTAGGATGCAAGATCATTAAACATTAAAATCATTTGTGTGTATCATGAAGTGTGCGTAAGCACTTTTGTAAACCTCCAGACAACAAACAGGTAGGAGGCAGAGAAGCCAATCATACACATGCTCGAGATGATCTGTTTATCTGCTTCATAGAAATTTAGGTCTCCAATTTGTTTTTCAAAATAGAGCCATTTATTTACCTCAGCGTTCAGATTTGATATTTGATTCATTAAATTTGTATATTGAGCAGAAGTAGCCAAGGCTTATAAGTTATAATTACTTATAATATAAACATAACAATACATAAGCCTGCAAAAACCCAGTAAGGAATCAGGACTTGTGCCACTGGTCAAAAGCTTTTTTATTGTATTGGTTCATTGTTGATCTTGTGACATGAAGCAAGTTCATGAACCTAAATGGATTCAATCATATTAAATGGTGAAAATAACTCACATGCCCATTAAATACTATATCCACGCCGTGTGAGTATAGAAGTTCTTCCATCTCCACCCTCATGCACTCTGCTTCTCGGTAATGTGCCACATAAGAACTATACCATGGAGGATGCCAAGTAGCTATAAGCCAGGGAGTTATGGACCTATCAAGACTAGCCAGATCTCTTTGCAACCACTTATATTGTTCAGCTGGCAAGGGATAGTCACAGTTAACTTCCAAAGGTTACAAGGAATAAAACATATCATCTCAACTTCAACCAGTATATGCATCGATTCAAAAAACAAAACATCTACGGTTCAAACCCAAGAGAATATTAATGGATTTTAAGCATATTCAAAACTTTATCAATTAGCCTTTCTCTTCCTGATTGTTAATACGCTAATTAACTTCCAAAATTGAATATTGGTAGATTATTGCCATTTATTATTTTAGTAAAATAAAAGGTCCATGACGTGAAAGGAGTGGAGAAAGGGGAATGGGTAGAGATGGGACCCAAGTACATCAAGCTTAACTCAGTCTTAATGAGAAAGGCTGGTCCATTTGAGCTACTCACTCCTTGTCTGTGGCCAATGCTTTCCAAAACTAAGCTGGTAGTAAACAAGTCCTCATAGTTAATCATCCCGTTGAGCCAGGCCTTCAAAACATATAATTTCAATTTTTACATTTTTCAAGGCACACCTATGTTTCAATTGAGGCTAAACAAACAGGTCCACTGACAGAAATACCACTAACAAAAAAATAAATATCTTGAATTAAAAATGATTACACAATAAAAACAGTTAGAAAAGGGAAAAAGAAGGACTAATACCTGATTTATCATAACCAATGTAAGCCCCAAGCATAATAAAATGGATCCCCCCAGCATTAAAGGAGTAGTAAAACGTGGATGAAGACCCGCTTTCTTCAGAGGGGAAGGCAAACCTAGAACTGTAAGCCACAAATGTCCTGTTAAATGCCTGTTCTTCTATTTCATGATTTCCTTCCACCACCATCATCGGTACTTTGGAAACCAAATTCTGCATAAACCTGGAATTATTCAGTTATTGTAGCATAAAAGGTTAAAAAAGCGAAGTGTTGCCCCATCAGCCAAAAAATTTGTCAAAAGTTTGTAACAACTTTTCCATGTACCTTCCCCAATAATCCCATCGAGGCTGGTAGGTCTCATGTATGGGACTTTCTGGGAATGAGCAGGTATAGCAGTCAGAGCCAGTTCCATTTGTTAGGTATAGATTTGCATAGGTCACATCACCAATCAATAGGAAAAGATCAGGTTTGTTATTGATCATGTGACTGATGGTTGTAGTTGTATTATACGTAAGGCCAAGATCTCCCACTACTGCAATTCTGTCTGGATAGCTCTGTGGACTAGAAGCTGGCATTGTCTTGAAATGGTAGATGTCACTCATTGCTTTTAGTGAGGAGTCTCCACATTGATAATAGTATATTGTGCTTGGTTCTAACCCTGCATAGAGTGAAAGCTGTTAAAATAACGTAACATGTGACTTTCCAGGCGAAAATGATATAATGAGACATGTATATGGGAAATTACTTAAACTTTCTACACACGGGTAGGCAAGGAAGCTTTGACACCCCAGAGACACAACACCCTGACACAACAATATTTGTAGGTGTTGTGTTATGTCCATGATCCTTTTTTGAAGTCTCACACTGAAATCATTATACAACTATATGACATGTGATAAATTCTTACACAATCCATTTTTTGAAGAGTCATGGCTTAAAAACTTAGCCAAACTTTCAATGATAATGTTTGAGATGAATGAACATTTAGTTTAAAAGCCCCATTAAATTTCATTCATGGACAATTCTACTGAGATATTGACAGTTTCTGCTGATTGACAGAGGATGTAAATGAGACATCGACTGACTGCAAAAGAATCCTCATTATGGTTTACTCTAGACAAATTTCCCTCAAACTCTTGTCTTTCTCCCCACAAAAGAAATTTATGAATGTGGGTTAGTCAAAAAGCCCTCACCTGACGTTTATATTCTTGGGTACAGAAGTGAGCAGCCATTGAGGAATCTCATAAGTAGTGCTTATCAATTAAAATTATAAAATATGAAGAGGCATGCATCTTATAAACAAACTATAAGTGAATTAAGAAAACCGAAAAGAAAGCGTTATATAGTGATGTAATGTAAGATGTGTCCACTGTTTTCTTTCAATTCTAAATCTGCAAAGCTCACCTGCAAGTCGAACATGGTGGATGATTCCTGAGGTATAGTTCTGAAGTCCTTCAAAAGGATAAAGCTGACTGTAAATGAGAGAATGACCACTAGCCTCATGTACTAATTCGGATTCTGAGGTTCCATAATAAACAGTACTTGAGACAGCCTTAGGATCCAATGGCTTGATATTGTCACCAATTTGAAATTTCCCTGATATTATCCATGAATTCAGGATCCTTGATCAACAGAAGAATATGAATATGACGGGGGTACAAACAAATCTTTTTCCAAATAAATTCAATAAATTCTAGCAAATTTGCTCTTGATTTTTAATCTCTAGAATAGATCAGAAAATCTCCTTCGTTACAGACTCACCTTCTACTAAAAGAAATAGTGATAATTGGACCATTTCAAGAGAAGTGTGTTGTAGAAAACTAGAAAGAGAAGTGACTCCAAAATTGATAACGAAAGACCGAGCATGGAACTCCATTTATGTTAGTATAGTTAGCTATAGACATGGACATAATCACATAAACAGCTGTCTCTATACATTTACATGGAGAAGTTCACTAGATTCATGACTGACCAGCCATGTATTCCTGAACTTCAAAAAAACCAGTTGCCAAGAGTTGACATGAGGCTTATAAGGAGTTGCATTTAGCACGTTGCACATAACAATAAATAAACGGTTAAACTTTTTATGGAGTTAGAGCAGCAACTTATATGGATTTAGTTCCAAATTCATTGATAACCTCATCAATAAACGCACTAGCATTTCAATATCTAAGGTGCAACCTGCACATTAGTGAACCCAAATGTTCTAAGTGAGAAGCCTTTGAAGTCTAAAACAGTGTGATGTGACCCAATCAATAGGTCATAGCGACAATACCCCACATTAAAATATTCGATACTGATAAAAACTAAAATGAATTTTTGCTTTAACGCTTAGAAAATTTGATTCAATCCACCCAGTGAAATGCAGGTTGAAACAAGAAATCCACCCAGTGAAATATAGCTCAAGCAATAAAATAAGAGAAAAACTCAATTTTAGTCCCCGGTAATTCCGACAGATTGTTAGTTATCGCCTGAGCTGAGGTGAGAGTTAATGGTTCGGCAGAATGCTAGATTTTGCGTTAAATTTTGAGTAGAGATAGAATGAAAAGGTAATATTACAATCATTTTAGACCATATTAAATCAAAAATAAATAAATACTCACCAAATCTGTCAGCAGTAAATATGTTTTTCTTATAAATTAATTGAAAAAATTAGAGATCAAAAATACCTGTAATCCATGAGATCCAAACTGAATCATGGCTGGCCGAGAGAGACACTGAAATCTGCTCAGGCTCGAAACCCTGAACGAGGCGGCGAACGCGAGGATCGGTGTTAGGCAAATCAACGGCGATGCCGCGCAGACTAGGATCGAAAGGAACAGTGACGGGCTCAAAGGGGCCTTCAAGGGTCGTCGGAATATCGCAGCGAACCGCAGCAACAAGCAGATTCAGCAGAAGAATCGAACCCGGGTAACGAAAGAGAACGGGAAGACAACGTATCGGAAGATCACCAGCTTCGGAATTTTCCATTTGTGGGGGGGGGGAGAGAGAGAGATGAAAAGGAAGAAAAAGAAGGAACAGAGGAAGCGGCTTTGGGCAGTGAGGTGGCGAGAAGAGAGTGAGGAGGAATCGCTTGGGAATAAGCGAGTGACAGTTGGTGACCGTTGGTCGGATGAACGTGGCGCTGCACGGACGATGTTGACAAATTTTTTATTCTCAAGATAAATTATTCCATCTATATTTTTAATTAAAAATTAAACTTTTTTTTGCCGGCAAATTAAAAATTAAACTTAAATAAAATGCTAAACAATAAAATATTTCATATAATTTAATATTTCATATATTAAATTATATAATCCATCTCATAATGTAATATCTATTACTCCCTCTGTTTTATTTATTGGAAAGAATTGTCTAATTCTCACACACTAATTAAGCTGAGTTAACTAATTTATGTCTTAAAGATATTTTCATTTTTTTTAATTTTACTTTTATTTAATGCCTGCTTAATTTGCTAATATTTAATAGAGAATGCAGCATTGTTAGCAAGTTATTTTATACACTCAACAAGGACATATTAGGGGAAAAAAATTAAATACTCCTCAAATTTTACAATTTGTCTTATAAAAAAACCATCTTTCAAAATTTATTTCTATAAATAAAAACAAAGGAAGTCTTACTCATCACATAGTTATAGTAGCATATAAGTTACAGAGCTCACTTTTTATTATTAATTTATTTTTTCTTTTTACAGGAACTTTTTGGTAACTTTGTGTTTTTGTAGATCTTCTTTGCAATCTAGCACTTCTTTCTCAAAACATTCGCAGTGGCCGCCTTAGAGCTTCCGCCTTCGCCAACCTCGAGAGCTAATGCTGCTCATAAAGAAACAAAATAATAATAATAATAATAATAATAATAATAATAATAATAAATAAAAAGATCTTCTTTGCAATCATCCAGCTCATTTATTAGTTTTTTAAAAAAATTCTCCTATTAAATATATTCAAACATTAAAGCTATTTAACGAAGGGTATTGTTGATAAAATGAAGTCAATTATTGACACATGGTATTGTTTTTAACTAAAGTAACCTGCTTTCTTAATATAAAGTAGTTAATAGGTTCTTTAAAAAAGGAAGAAAGAAGTAAAGTATGACAACTGTATGTGAAAAATTGGTGAGTTTACTTATTGTTTAGTATTAACACCATAAAATCAACAAAAATTGATTCGTTGATATAAAGTTGGCCAAGATCCGATGAAGACGCGAGCAAATTTCCCTATCAATGTGAACAAATAGGATAAGATGTTTCATAAAACTTTCTTTGGTCATGAATGGAAAAAAGCCAACTAAAAATTATGACATAAAATCAAACCCTCCATAGATCTACATCTTCCTCTCTATAGCTTTCATGGTTGTCTCAACTTCTGTTCATTTGGAACAAATCTGTTCACCTGCACTTTTAATGCAAATGGGTTTTGTTGATTTCATTATTCATCAGCTTTTTCATCTACTTACCTTCACCCTTGCCAAAGTGACTATTGTTCAAGGTCTAATTCATTCTTCTCCTCACAAAGCTTTCATTCCCTTTTGTGTATTGGTTTTAAACGATTGTTAATGGTTTAGAAATAAAGTGTTTATTGAGGATGACATTTGACATTGAGTATTTTGATCTTTATTTTGGCTGCGAAGATCTTCTTGGCGGTTAGTGAAGATGAAGATTTTTTATTTGTTTGACGGTGTTTTTTTCTTTAAAATTTTATGAAAATACCCATCAATTTTCTTCTCCCAAAACACCCAGTATCCTTAAATAACTAAAAATATAAAAATATTCATAAATTTAATTTAAAGAGTGTAATTTTTTTTGGAACTGTAAAAAAATAGTAAACGACTGGTAGTTTTGTAGAATGGGTTTCATAATCATGCCACGTGTCAAGTTCTCATGATCTACCGTCCACTTCTATCTCCTTTTTTCTTTTCTTTTCTTTTATGTCCTGTCTCTTCCAACCCATCCCCCTTCTTATTAACTATCAATCTCTCCTTTCCTTATCTTCTCTCTCTCTCCCCCCCTCCTCCCTTCTCTTAACCCATCATCTTCTTTGATACATCTTTACTTGCCCCACTATACCTTCATGCTTGCCAATTTCATTTGTTGAACCATACCATTATGGGGCATGATTTGGTTGATGGCCATTTTCACTTCAACTATGTTGGCCTTCTTTTTGTTTAAATTTTCCTTTACCTTCTCCCTAAGCTTTGCATGAGCACCATGTTGTACAGTAACAACTGCACCATCATCACTCATAACCAAGGTTTTAAAAACCAAATCGAACCGGCTGGTTTGACCGATTGAATTGAGAACTGGTTCTTGGTCCAGTCCGGTTGACCCCCTAAAAATCGATCATTATGGAATCGATCAACAATCGGTAAAACTGGATAAAAACCGTACAAAAAATAAAAAAAAATTAAAATTAAAATTAAAATACATCTTTCTTGATATTTAAATGAAAAGCTTCACTTATAATTAATATTAATTATGTATTTATCAATAATAAATTATATTACCAAGCATCTATAATATATTTTTGAAAAAAATACACATTTAAATGTATTTCTTATTTAATTATGATATATAAATTAAAAATATATTAATTTAATGTTAATTGGTTTGACCCCGGTTAGACCACGGTTCGACCAATGAACCGTGAACCAGTGCCTCGTCCGGTTCAATGATCAGTCTGGTTTTTAAAACCTTGCTCATAACCTCTATCCTCATCTCTCTTAGCACTTGCATCACATCCAACAACAATGCCTCCTTGTTCTTGCATTCTAGCTCCAATAGCGCATTGTTCTCTATAATTGACACTTGCATTAATGTCACCACTCCTGACGGTAGAGATGCCTTCACTGTCTTCGGCTTCCCTATCCCTCCACTCCGCTCCACAATCTTCATCTTGCTCTTGTTTGACCCTACCCTTATCAAGCTCCTCTGTTGCTCCTTCAACTATTGCTCTACTTCCATTTGGTAGTTATGAGCCTCCAGATCCTGCATCATGCACTCGATGGTGTCCCTCAATATAGATGCCTTGTCCATTTTGGTGACAAAGGGCATAAGCAATCTCAGTATGATAAACCTCTATTAAGCTTCTTGCAGTCATGGTGCTTTGCCAACACATGGTATAGCAAGGAGGTATGTTTCTTTCTAGCAAGATAAAAAGAGAAGAAAGGAAGGTTGAGGGAAGAAAAAGAAAAAGAAAAGAAATGGAGAGGAGACCTACTCTACAAGACCAACAAAAATTTGCCATTTTTCACTATTTATGAAAAATTGCACTCATTAAACCAAATTCATGGATAATTTTGCACTCTTGTTGAATTAAAGATATTGGAGTATTGAAGAAAAAGTTAATGAATATTTTTACCCTTTAATACTTTATTTAATTAAAAACAACAAGAAGTTTTTTTTCAACATTTTTCAATATGTATAAAAAAAAATTATCCCCAATAAGCCCAATAATGGTTGAACTAACCTAGTTAGATAGCCATATAAAAAGAAAAGGCTAAATAACCCTTCCCTTGTTCATAACTTGCTAGGCTTGTGGAGCATCATGAAAAAGGGAAAAACATAGTTAGGCTACCTAATGGTTTCAAGATGACAAATATAAGTGGGTATAGCACCACATTTTAACCCAAAATCTTAAGCCATGGAATTTATAGGTCTTTTTCACTTATATATCTTTTATCTAGCCCAACTTTGTTCGATATGAGACTTTCTCTCTACATCAAGTCAAGTCCACTCACACTTGATAATCCAACAATCTCCTCAAGTGTGAATCCATCATTGATCACACAAACATACTCCCCTTATTTGCTCGCACTTGACAAGCCAACAATCTCTCCCTCTTTGCCCCTACTTTGAAGACACCAACCTACTACAAATAGTTCAACCTGATAACACTTGTGAGCTTCCAACGCTTTTTCCATCATCTTTACACTGGGTCCCTTCCTAAAAGGAGGTTTTGATACCACTTGTTAGGCTTAAAAAGCATCATGGAAGAATATAATGAGTATGATACTACATCTTAACCTAAAATCTTAAGACTTTGAGTTTATGAGTCATTTCTATTTATATTCCTCTTATTTAGCCCAACTCTATCCAATATGAGGCTTTCTCTCCACACTAAGTCGAGTCCACTCAAGCTTGATAGCCCAACATAACTAATATAATACAATATATAAATCTAAAAGATAACAAAAACATCTCCAATCGAACTTTCATACAATACCAATTGCACGTTAATTTATCACATAAATCTGCTGTAGACAACCTCATAATACAAATAGTTGGTGGGAATAGGGATCTAACCTATCTCTATGTCTTAGAAGTACTGATCTCTTTAGGTACCGCAAGATATGCCTACCTTGAATTACTACATTGTATTATTCTGTGTCCAAGACCAAAAAATCTAGACACAAAACATGCCCGGGAAATCAGTGGCAGCAGCCATAATTTGCCATACGTTGGACCAAGTGAAAGAAATGTCGAGTCTAGATGGAGGCATTGCACATCAATTACTGCTCATTTAGAGTGGCAAGTTCTTCAACTAGAGAATGCTTCTCCAAGATGGCCCTTGTCTCTTCCATCGCGCTACACAACATGAAAATGAACACGGTTAAAGCAGCATGTAGCAAAGTTCAAATCCTCATTGGGTTATATGTCCACATTTAATATTTGACCGTATCTTGAATAGAACTGCCTCTAATAGAAAGACACCCGTAAGTAATTAAAAAAAAAAGGCCTGTAGCATGCCCTCTTTGAGGGTCGTAGACTACTTTCATAGCCTGCGTTATATTATTATATATAGACACGAACCACGTGTTGCTCTTTTTATAACCCCATCCTGAAGCATCTCTATAATTCCCACCAATTCTATCCCAAATATGAAAACGAACACTATCTAACCAAAATCTGGTCTTCGTTATTAGTATGACATAAAACATCCCATTCTGAAACTAAATTAAGAAACTTGAAAGACAAGAATTAGCTCAATAAAATCTACCTTCCAGGTCTGAGTATCTTGTACTTATGTGGTACAGTGAGGTCCACAAT